TGTATGATTATTTTTTAAGGATAAGCATTCGATGCATCGATTGAAGGCAGACGAAGGTTACTTAGTCGGTAAAGGACTTCCGCCTGTTGCGGCATATCTCACTATAGATCAAGATTATTGACACCGCTCTACAGGTCCTTCTTTTTCTCGGATTCACGAAAAAAAACTCAGCTAGAAAAAGCACAAATAGTTTTTTCCTAGCACAACGTGGATGCGATTCATCCTGGTTACGGTTTCTTATCCGAGCGAGCCGACTTCGCACGTGCTTGTATCCATGCGGGGATTTCATTCATTGGCCCAAGTCCGGATGTTATGGCACGCATGGGAGACAAGGTATCTTTCAACAATTACTAGCCACAGAAAATGCCTTAAGCTCCTAAAGATCATGTTCGTAAAGCATTTGAGTTCTCTTTCGAGCGTTCGTTAAGCAAGTAATTTCATGTTTAGGTGGCAGCACGTCAAGCGGCTATTGAAGCTGGTGTGCAAGTAGTTCCTGGAACCCCAGGACCAATTACTACGGCGGAAGAAGCTGTCGAGTTCGCCAAGCAGTATGGAACTCCCATTATCTTGAAGGCTGCTTACGGTGGTGGAGGGCGCGGCATGCGCAGAGTTGACCACGTTGAAGAATTAAGTTTATAAGCTCTGCATAAGTAATGTCAGATTTTTTGGCACTATTTACCCTTTACTGCCCCACTCCTTAAGAACTGAGCCGGATTTTGATCGAAATTCGTCCATGACTGTGGATTTGGCTAGAAACTTGTCTTCAGGGGTTTTCGACCCGTAGAACACGAATATCACACCAGTTTAGGGGAAAGCGCGGGCCCTCGCCTGCACCATCACATCAGTTCTGGGCCGGCACCCGTAGTGGAGGATACGTACTCACTCTCATCGAACTGATGTGATATACTTATTCTACTGGACTAGCTACCTCTGACGACAAATTTGGTGATCTCTGGCGCTTTTTAGCGCCGGCACCTGTAGCGCTAAACAAATGTTAGGTTAGTATTCCACAGGTCTAGCAACTTCCGGTGGCAAATTTCTAGCCAAATCCACCAACTTGGGCAAATTTCGATAAAAGTCTGCCTCAATTTTCGAGGATTAAAGCGTGAATGTGCCCATTTTTCGTTATCAATTCATTTATCAATCAGTTGTTGTTGTTGTTAGCACAGAACCTACGAAGATGTAGTTTTCCTAGCTTAGGGTGGCTATGGCATATTGTACAGCTACATATTTCAGGTTGAAGAGTCGTTCCGACGCGCTTTCTCCGAGGCGCAAGCCGCTTTCGGAGATGGATCGTTATTCGTGGAGAAGTTTGTGGAGCGACCTCGTCATATTGAAGTACAACTTTTAGGTTTGTCGAGAAGATTTTGATCGCTCTCATTCATTGGAACTCGTTACGAGACAAAGTTCGAGAGGCGTCCCCCCCCCCTTAAATCCCAATTGACGTCTTTTCTGCCATCCACATCCTATTCACAGCTCGATTTTTGATGGAAGGAGAATGAGAACTTTTCAAACCTTTGCTGATATGTCGAACTTTCCCTCATATCATCTGAAACCAAACAAATAGTGCAGCAGTAGAATACACTGATTATCAGTTCCAATGGGTGTCTCCCACATCGCACTCACTGGAAATATTTGCTCTGATGGAAAAACCATTAAGGAACCTTCATTTAATGGTGGGCTTTACAGAAACTCAAGAAAAAACACGTTCTATCCATGTTGTGGTGCCCTTGTAGGGTCCTACGGCTTGTTAGATGTTACCACAATCTCTTGTTTGAAGTATCCGCCGTGCTCTTGGCTTCCATAGTTTCCCTCAAACTTGTTTTTGCTCTTTGGCCCTGATCTCGAAGTTTAGGTTTTTTTCAAAAATTGTAGTTTTTCCACTCATGTGACATCCTTCTCTTTGCAGTCATTGTGGTGAGGGATCGGGTAAAACACTTTATTCGCTGTTCTCCGAGTGCCATATATTCCACATCTGGACCAATCACATTTTTCAGCTTCATCTTTCGCCAGCTTTTGTATGATCTTTCTTCAGCTCGCTCCCGAGCAGCCCTGCCCTGTCTCTCCTCGGGGCTCAACAACTGCTTCCCTTGTGCATCATGATGACTTCGGTCATAATACTGTATTTTTTGCTGGACTGGTCTGCGAGAGTCTGGGAGATCAGCTCGCAGTATCCTTTCTTCGAGGTCATTCTTCTCCGCTCGCTGCAGCTTCCACTATCGAAAAATTTCTCTACTGTTATTACCCTGGTTTTCCTAGATAGGAGGGGAGGGGGTGGGAGAATCACTCACCTTCGTGACATTTTATGCAGGGAGCGGCCCGACGTGAGGTTTCCCCGCGATAGCGAAGTGTCTGATGGTTTAGAGACGACCCTTTAAGGAGCTCGTGATGGATTTCGAACTACCTCCTTCCACTGCTCTAGCTTACCATTGCCATTTCTTTCTCCAAATAGCTGCTGCAATGTGCTGATTTGTAAGCTGTAGCCGAGGAAAGACTCTGCTCCTTGGTGTTTCTTGCTGCTATTTCTTCTACCACCGTATGCTATTTGTGCTGCCTCCACGTCCGCCGAGCGTGGCTGTTCAATTCTCTGCTATGAATGGGCTGTATTTTCGACCCGCCCGCCCCCCGTATTCTACAAGACGTTACATTCTTCTTTCCTACTTCTGCTCCACTGCTCAATGCTGTGTGGCTTCTACATACGGCATGACCACATTTCTCATCCGTTCGCCGTTGTGGTACTGAGAACAATTTTTGTCTTACATTTTTGAACTTCTTTAACACACACTTGTTTATGAGCTGAAATTATGAGAATCTGTCCACCGCTGGACTTACGGACGCGCCGAGACCTGTCTTTCTGCTGCACACCCGGCAGGCCATCCACACAGTACGGAATACTCTACGCCGCTGAGCGAATGCTAATGGCTGACCAAATCACCTCACACGTAGGTGGAGACTCCTGCCTCGCCAGCTCCCGCACTGTCAAGATTTAAGAAAAGATCTGACGACGGCTGCTACGCCTTGCCCAACACGTCGTTATCCAAAACGCCCGACGCAGGTACGGTACAATTCTCCTTCTCCTGTGCATGTCCATCCTCTTACACGGTCGCGCCTCCACAATTATGGGATCAAGACATTGTATCGTTGAAGACGCAATAAAGTAGCTTGTATGGAACAGATCACAAGCTTGCCTGCGCACCGTTTTTTGCACTCTTACCCCTCAAAGTAATTCCAGTAATCAGAATGCGCAGATCTGCCCACTCTGCCCGGGTTAGACCACGAGCTTCCGGTGAGGTGGTGGATGCGGCGTGCGAAATCGCACCACACATAAAGGCGCCAGTCCGCAAGCTGTTTCTCCCAGCCTTTCTGCTCCTGGGCCTTTATCAGGGCAATCCACTTTTCGTGCATGCATCTTATTGGCACATGTGCCTCCAGGGTGGCAACCACTCACCAGAAATCTAGAGCTATTAGGTGGATGGTTCCATTGTAACAATTTTTCGAAAGCGAAGAACTCGAAAAATCGCTTTTTGGAAGATTTTTGCTTTATTCTTGGGTGCTCGGTCCTGTAAGAAGTCCCACGTAGACTACTCGTGTGGCTTTCTATGCCCCTAGAGGTGCCGCCTGGACCGCTCCTTTTAGCCGTTTGGCTGTTGGGTATCACATAAATTTTTCGTATGGGTTAACGAAAGCTCCGACCAAGGGTAGACCTCAGTCTGCTGCCATCCCTGACTAACATTCTCTCCGCTCGGCTCGCGCGCTTTAAACAAATTTTTCTTTTTGTTGTCAAAAGTTCCGCCAGTCCCCCCCGAATTTTCCATCTGGGTGATTCCAACTTGTTTGAGCCCGAACTCTAGTGCTTCGTTGCTCATAAAGGCGCTTCTCTGATAGGTTAGACTGCTGCTAGATGTAACGTGCCAGAGCCCCTAGTGAGTTCAATTTGAGGACTGACTCAAAGTGAAGTAGTTATTTCACTAGTTTTGAGAACTTCATGAAACTTGGTTTCATTAGGAAGAAGACATCGTACCGTTTCATATAGTGCCAACAGGACCACCAGCATTGAAAATGGAGCGATACGGAAAAAAGTGGATATGACTGCGCGCGCACGCGGTCTTCATAACTTTGGACCACCCCGTATATTGATGTTCATCGGAGCTTTCGATCGTGGACTTTCTTTTCGCGATTAGCGAAGGGGTGGCTGAAACGGGATAAATGTATTGATGTACTAGTAGGATCCAATTTTGAAACAGTAGCTGCTGATTGACTTGCCATTGGAGAGGAAGGAAGAATGAAATCACTGAAGTAGCCCTTAATAAGGCCTTTTTGGGCGGTATTGGGGTCTGACAGACAAACGCTGTAAAAAGGCACTGGGCGCCAAGGAGAGAGAACGCAAACGGAGACGAGAGAGCATAGTGGGGAGCGAAACAGCGGTCAGCGCGACACTGGGTGTGCCTGTTGCTTGATGTGACCACAGCTGCAAATGCTGAGCCTCAACGCCCATTCTAAAAGAGGATTTTACGATAAGGACGACGATCGAAGGAGGAAAAACCTAGCTAGTGGAGACGAGCTCCGCCCGGTTTTGTAAGTATGGACCGAACCGCAATTCGCATCGAAATATGTGCCTCCGCCAATCTAGCATGGCCTTCCCCGTGGCCCGTTGGCGCGCTATTGGCCGGTACGCCCCTCTCGCGTCGTCTCGTGTCTGAGTCTCTAGCCGTTTAGCAGAGAGAGCGTTAGCGTTGAAGAGGGCAGCACCGATGAGAGTCGCATCAATGCGCAAATCAACGGGCAAGGAAGGGGTCCCATTTCTCGGGTTCTAGGCCTTTTTCATGGTTTTTCTTCTTTCCTGTATCACTGCCATCTCTAAATTAATTTCCAATGGCTACTTTTCCACCGTAGAATCCGCTGTTAAGGCGGTGAGAGTTGCGAAATTTGCCCTTTCTTTGCATTTGTGGAACCAGCGAACTTCTTTGAGAGAGGAATTCCTCCAGTGATCCTATCACGGAATGTGCCATTACATTTCTCGAAGATACTTTCTCCCATTCTTGTTCTTCAGGTACCGTGGAGTTCTTGGTTGACCAGAAAGGCAACTACTACTTCATCGAGGTGAATGCTCGGCTACAAGTAGAGCACACCGTAACCGAGGAAATTACCGGGTAGGTGACTGTGACACTTCATTTGGCCACTTCATTTTTTAAAATCAAAAATCAAATTTGTCCTTTAAGTGTGGATCTTGTGCAAGCTCAAATAAGAGTAGCCGAAGGAAAAACGCTAGCTGATCTCAAGCTGACTCAGGATCTTATAATACCTCATGGATCTGCTATTCAGTGTCGTGTCACCACGGAAGATCCTGCACGAGGCTTCCAGCCAGACTCAGGCAGAATAGAGGTCCGGCGACTTCCCCTTTTTTCCGATGATGAAGTCTTGAAAGAAAACTTCGTTAAGGTATTCCGATCCGGAGAAGGTATGGGAATTCGTCTTGATTCGGCTTCCGCATTCGCTGGCTCCATAATCTCTCCCTTCTACGACTCCCTTCTTGTGAAGGTACATATGTATAGCACTTAAAGGCAAAAGTCGGGCTCAATAAGGGGGTATTATGGCGATTGAAACTGAGTATAGAGATGCGAAGTGGAACGACAGTGGAGAAAAAACTGAGAAAAACCGTCGACAAGGCCGTTAACAAAACCCTCTTTCCCACTAGCAGTGAAGGAGGGGGGAAGAGGCACGTACAAACAAGTTTTCTGGAGATGTCAGTCGTTCTATCGGTTGATACGGCAATCAACCTAGCTGATTTCACACGTTATGCCAGCCACGCACCACTTCCGGAGGTGGGCGGTCCCGGATTGACAGGCGGTCCCGGATTGAAACCGACGGCCCCGGGGGCTTAACGACGTTTTTCAAGGTGGGAAGTTGCTGCAATGTGTGCAGCTACCCACATACAACCTCCAGGCACGGGAATTACTTCTCTAGCGTGCCTGAGCCCGACCTTTGCCTTTAAGCTTAATATCAAAACACTTATGATACCTCGAAAATGAGTCTCAATTACGAATTTTGGCGAACAATTTCGGAAACTTCGTAGAGTGCAGATATAAATAAGTGTAACTCCAATAAAATAGGGCGGAAGTGGTGTAGTGGACAAGTGGCACGCTTACCACGCGAGCGGTCCGGGGATCAAATCCTGGGTCGTGAGTCGCCCGGGCCAACCAAGCCTTCCATCCCTCCGGGGTCGGTTAATTGGTACCAGACTTGTCTGGGAGGATAAAAAACACTGACTTGTACATCGGCTGGCCCCCGCAAGTCATTGTATAGGCCACATCGCATTCAAACGCCACTACGAATGTACAAATGGAAGTAGAATGCGTGCCGCATCCCAAAAAGGGATTGATCAACGGCAAATGCTTTATCCTTTATCCTTTACTTCCAATACGAATGCAGGCATAAGCGCAAATACACTGGTGTGCAAAACTTAAGGACCAGATAGATAAATTGTCCTAACTTATTAACAATTAGATGGAATTGGATGAAACTGTACGGGCATAATGCTAGAAGCCCTACAGTCATGGGCACCGAAGTGGGCCTCATATGTCTTGCATCCGGCTTCAATCTGGAGCCTAAATGGGGTGGCCACCCAGAACGATGGGTATCGTGGGGCAGGACAAGAGGGGTGAACTAAGCAGGGAGAAGTGACTGTGGAATGTAGTGGTGTTCTTGATTACATCAAGTCTCAGAGACAACACTAGGGTGACTTTACGCGAGGAAGAATCATTGGGAAACTGAAAAAAGGAAGTTGTGTGTCCAGGAGTTTTGTGTCAACCACAGCATTGTTTTTTGTGCATGAGAAGCAATGTGGACCGCAGCCACTGCTGTCCCAAGAAGAGGAGGTTGTGGGTCACGAACAACCGCAGCAGCAGGTGATTGCTAGGTTTTGCTACAGGCAAAAATGGACCCACGTCAGTCACATGCTGCAGTTGCAAAAACATTTATCAGGATTGTAAGGCATGTAATCCCAGTCCGGACAGTGGCGCAGTGACCGCCTAGGAGTGATCTCTCTCATCGATCAACAATACCTGTATTCATTTGAAATCCACGCCTCGGCTGGGACATTTGGTACGAGCCGAGACATTGGAGATGGACCACCGAATTGAAAAAATCGCGTATCTTCCCGACAAAAGCAAACATCGAGATGTCAAGTATGTTCCTGACTTACCTGCATATGGGAAAATAGAACATGTACATCCTACCCCACCCATCGTTCATGATTTGTTTTGTAGTCCATGTCTAGCATGATGTGGGGAGGCATAAAGTTGTCGGGGCGTACTGATCCCCAACTCATGATCGCGTTACACTTTCTGATCAACGTGATTGTGGTGTTGTACCCTTCTGTCATGTGCATCTTTCCAAGGGTTCCCTTGCCCTCAGCTTCAATCGTATGGAGGGCAGTGTGCGAGAGTATCGAGCAGCCTGGGTGGAAAACTCTTGAAAAGTGAGGATTTTCGGTAATTGGTGAAGCCATTTATTTCCTCCAGTCTAATTCTATGGAGCACGTGTGGCGTGGATTCAGATGAGCTATTGTAGCACATGACCATGTGCCAACAATAGTCCTGCAGTTGTCAATCGCGGTCTCCAAGGAATCGGTCACTTCTCCTCAAGAACTCTTAACTAATCTTACGGCCTGTATGGGAACACGTAGCAGAGCATACCTTGCAGTCCGTAGTGTTCATACACCCCATCAAGAACCAGCTCCTCTCTTTTGAATGTCTACCATGAGTTGGAGAAGCCTCACCTATCGACCGCTTCAGACAGGGTATTTGCAGAAAAATGTCTTTTCCAATCGCCCCTTTGCGCTTTTCTGTTAGTAACTCTCTGCACTGTACCGCAACATTTACTTCTATATATGTGCCAAATTTGGTCCACCTAGGTTAACTAGCAGTGAGATATCATGTGAAAGTTACTTCCGTCCTTAAGTTTTGCACACCAGTGTATAACAAATTATTAAAAACTTCGTAATAGCATACATTATGTTGAACCAATAATCCTTAGAGGAAGGAAATCCGTAATGCCGAGCAAAATGCGTCATTTCATTTCCCCACCAATTCCTCGCCCTCCTAGGCTATGTTAGCCCGAAATGATCCCCGATCTTGGGATTGCGGACAAATGTATACTGTAAAGTCTCACGACTATGCTGCATCAAATGTAAATCAGTGGCGCGATCGGTAACACTCCCCAATCTGGGTGGAATTTTGGGTGGAGCAATGTTTTTGACCATGATTCAACATCCTTGTGATAACTTTCCCATCGCGATCTGCGGAATGAGCATTAGGTTAGGTTAGGATAAATATGTTCCATAGTTAGAGTAAAAATTTTACTGCAATATATTCACAAATACAAGTTCCACTGTTTAGGTCATTGCATCCGCTCGTAATCATCCTAACGCGTGTGCCAAAATGATTCGAGCCCTAAATGAATTCAGAATTCGCGGAGTCAAGGTGAGTATCTTTCCTATTGAGCTTATTGCTGAAAAGAACGCTGTTTTTGCAGACAAATATTCCTTTCCTGCTCAACGTCCTCCAACAGCCGGCATTCCTCGATGCATCCGTTGACACCTACTTTATTGACGAACACCCGAATCTTTTCGAATTCCGACGAAGTCAAAATCGTGCTCAGAAGTTGCTCAGTTTCCTGGGAGAAGTTCAGGTCTGCCTTTCATAAGGTTATTTGGTATATTTACATCCTAGAGTGCTGTATGAGGTAGTCATTCCATTACCACTATGAACAGGTGAATGGCCCACAACGCCTCTTGCTACGGATCTCAAACCGGCTTACGTCGACCCAGTGGTACCTGCTATTCGCTCTGGTATGTTAAACCATTGTTTTGATGAGAGAAGAGCATGAGAATATTTCTTGCAGTAATAAAATATTGCACTCCCTTTGGCGACTTGATCAATCTCATCTCTGTTTTGATTTTATCAAATGATAACAATATATGATTGAGTCGCACTGTTGCAGGATTCTCGGCGTCAACGGAAGATGAATGTAGGCACTAGTGAAGTTCATTAAATACATTTTCTAAGAAATACCTGCTTCTATGAGAACACTAGTTCCCTTTTATGGTAACAAAACGCGTAATCCGCACTTTTTGAGTTTCTTCTGGTTGTGTTGTCGGTGTCAGGTTCTAACTTTAGAGCTGTATCAAAGGAGCGTTTACTGTGAAATTTATCTTCACTGTTACCTTCCTTGTACCTGTGGCATGATAGTCGCGAAAAGTTTCCGCAACATATCAGCTTTGATTTGCACAGAAGCCTAGACACGACTTTTCCGCCGTCCTAAAAATTGTAGTAGTTTGGAGTTTCGGAAGGATTTTTTCGTTACAATTGTGTCACAGGTACAAATATATGGTCCATTATAATTGGTCCCTCTTCCAAGAAATTTAGATTACAGGTTCGCCACCTCCCGTAGGTCTCCGACAGGTTCTTGTCAAAGACGGTCCTGAGGCGTTTGCACGGGCAGTACGACGCACGTCTGGATGCATGGTCACCGATACTACTTTCCGGTATCACTTTTGAAGTGTTGTTCAATTGCAAAAGGGAACTCATAGCAACAACCCTACATGAGGTCGTTCGAACAATCTAATCTGCGGGTAGGGATAGGGTAGCTGATGATTATCACAGTTTGCCGTTGTCACTGCTTGAAGCTGCGCGACAATCGCGCAAATGCTTTCACTAGGGTGAGCTAATGGCGGCTAATGTGAGCTAATGGACGAGAGATACCTCGCGCATATCCCATGACACGCAACGTGGATTACGGCATAGCGGCTAATTCAAATACGCGCGGGTTAGTGGAGCCATGGAGCAAGCAAGCTCAGACAACTCGTCCAAACGCGCCCCTCCCTCATTTTAAAAGGGAGAGGAGGGTTCCTTGTTGAGGGCTTCATCGGCGCTTTGCATCGCTTCTTTTTTTCATTTTCAGTGACATCCGCGTCCACAATTTCATTAATCGACCGCTGTTCCTCACCAATTCGACCTGGAATTGTGCTTTAAAGGGATGCCCCAGGACCAAATTAGTGTGATTTTGCACATGACTGTGAAAGTAGTGGTGCGATCTGGACCGGTAGATAAACCGAAAAAGAACCGTCGGAAGCGCTTCAACTGAAGGCTTGAACAACTTCGCGACGCTGCCGTGTTAGGGCAGTAAAAAACCGAGCGCGGAGAGGAGAGAGGCGAGGGTGAGGTGAGAGGGCGCAAGGGACAAAAGGGGGCCAGACCATAGCTTGCTGTGGACGGGGATAGTTGAAGCTGTTGAAACTGCCTCAAGCTCTAGCGAACTTATCGGGCCATTTCCCTGCATGGGAGTGCTATCTGTTATTGTTCTTCGAAGGGTCTATCCCACTTACCGAAAAGAATCGTTCACCCGACTCTTGTCCGAGTTGTGCTTTTAAAGAATGTCGTGTGTTTATCGAAAAAGCGTTGGAAGAGCTTACAAGTGTTAACTACATATTTATTTTGCAGAGATGCTCATCAGTCGTTACTTGCAACTCGAGTTCGAACCGTACGATATGGCGAGAATAGCGCCGTTCGTCAGTCATGCATTCCCACACTTGTATTCCATGGAGAACTGGGGAGGTATAACATACAGTGATCGATGTTTTAATGTTTTTGGCACGATTGTAAGATTACTTTCATCAGGTGCGACTTTTGACGTTTCCATGCGTTTCCTGCACGAATGTCCATGGGAACGACTTGAGACACTTCGGCAGCTCATTCCAAATATTCCGTTCCAATGTCTTCTAAGAGGAGCGAACGCTGTCGGCTATAGCAACTACCCGGACAACGTCATCGACAAGTTGGTATTCAACTCATATGTCTATTACATTTATAGTATTGAGAGTAATGAGGCGAAAACCTAGATAAACAACCTCGACTTCGGAATCACTTACAAATTTAT